CCCTTCCCCCTTGCTGTCCCCCCCCCCTCGCCCCCAGGTCGAGCTCCTGGGGGCTAACATAATGGCCAACGCCTCCCGCGAGCAGATGTCCTACACCATCGACTTCCTCGGCGTCCACACGCCCCAGGCCCTCGAGCTGCTGTCCGACTCGGTCCTCAACCCGGCCTTTGAAGATTACGAGGTTGAGGAGCAGAAGGCCCGCCTCGCTGCGGTGTTGTCGTCGCCGGCCGTGCAGACGACGATGCTGACGGAGTTGCTCGTGCGCGGCGCGTACGAGGGCGGCCTGGCCAAGCCGCTGATCCCTGACCCGGCCGCGCTGGAGCACCTGACGCCGGACGTACTGCTGGGGTTCATGCGGCGGCAGTACCTCGCGCCGCGCGTCGTGCTGGCGGGCGCGGGCATAGATCACGGGCAGCTGGTGGATCTGGCGGCGCCGATGTTTGAGGCGCTTCCCAGCGGCGGCAGCAGCAGCGGCGGCGGCGGCGGCGGCGGGGCCGAGCCTGGCAGCCGGTACGTGGGCTGCCACGCGGTGATCCCTGGGTCGGCGCCTGAGGCAAACCTGATACTGGCGTTTGAGTACGCGGGCGGCTGGCAGGACATCCAGGTGGGTGCTGGCCACGGATGGGTGGGAAACAAAGGAGACCAGGGGCGGGGATGAGGATCAAGATGGGTGGTTTGGGCCCGGATCCGGGACGGTGCCCTCACTAGAATGACGGTTTGGGCCCCTGCAACGAGGGTGCGCGCACAAGGTTCCGTGGGCTGTCGCCTTGCTATGGAGTCGCGCACAAGGGACCCTGCAGGCCATCACCATGAGTCCCCCTTCCCTTGCTCCTTGTGCTCAAAGCCATACCCTGGGGTCTTTCTGCGCCATCTCCCGGCTCTTGGATGGATTGCCGCAACCAGAGCACCCTGCCACTACCAACCGCAAGCTGGGTGACCCCCAACCACCCCCTTGCCCCACCCACCACAACCGCCAGGGCTCTGTTGTGATGACGGTGCTGACGTACCTCATGGGCGGCGGCAACAGCTTCAGCAGCGGGGGCCCGGGCAAGGGCATGCACAGCCGCCTCTACACGCGCGTGCTCAACCAATACCACTGGGTGGGTGCTGCGGGCGCATCAACCCAGGTCCCCTCCACTGATGGCGGCGGCCGCTGACCAGCCCCTCGCCACGTCAGTTTGCCGGCTTTGCTGGTGCCACTGCGTCAAGGCCACGGCCCGAACGAGTGACACGCCTCCGACCTCCGCCCCAGTGGCTCCTGGCACCCAAAGATGGTGCCCTCATGACGCCCGACGCCGCGCCCGCAGGTCCACTCCTGCTCCGCGTTTGCCAACACCTTCAACTCCAGCGGCCTCCTGGGCATCCAGGCCTCGTCCGAGCCGCAGCAGGCGCGGCCCATGCTGGACGTCATGTGCCGCGAGCTGGAGGCGCTCGCGACGCCGCCGCCGCAGGAGCAGCTCGAGCGGGCGAAGAAGATGAGCGTGAGCCTCATACACAACGCGCTGGAGTCGAAGAGCGCGAGCGCGGAGGACATTGGGCGGCAGTTCCTCACGTACGGGCATAGGTGGGCGCGCTGGCGGTGGGGGAGGGGGCTTTTGTGCGCTAAAGGCCGAGGGAACGGAGGAGGGCCGGGGCAGTTGCGGGTTGACAGGTCCGGGGCAGCCAGGAAATTGGGGCTCGGACGGCGGCAGTTTGGGAACTGGGAACGCGATTGGCGGGCGTCATCGAGCTGTGGGGCGTGGCCCCGTGGGGGCTGGCCCGCCCGAAATGCACCCCCAGCACCGGCCCCGCTCTGGCCCCGCCCTGCGCTGCGCTGCGCACCTCATCTCGTCCTCGGCCGCCTGCCCGTGGTCCCCAGCAATCATGGCAGCTCGCGTGCTCGCGCTCCCCTCAACTTGTGTCCTTGTTGCTTTCTGATCCCTGGATCTTGCAGGATCAGCGGCCGCGAGTACGTGGCAATGATCGAGGCCGTCACCCCACAGATGATCTCAGACTTTGTGCGGCAGCTGCTCTCCTCCAAGCCCAGCCTCGCGGCGTTTGGGGACGGCGCGGAGGGCGTCAGCTACGACCAGCTGCTGGCGCGGTACGGCCGGCACCCGCAGCAGGGCGCAGTGGGGGGCGGCGGCGGCGGCGGCGTGTTTTCGCGTCTGTTTGGGCGTGCAGGGACGGCGGCGGCGCTCGGACACGGGTGAGCAGCGTGCAGTCAGGTTAGTGTGAATGTAGATACACTCGTGTGTTTCTGTGCGCCGTGGAGGGCACCTTTTCCGCCGACGCGCGCGCTCCCGCCACTGCAGCTGTGGCGCGCGCCAGCCCTTGCCAGCCTCGTTTGCGTCCGCTGTTCTTTTCATGGCGCTCTTGAAACTCGGAGCTGCTGGTCGCACACACCCGTTTGATGGCACAGCAGACGTCCATCATTTGTGCTTAGCATGGTCGTTGCGGTGGCAAACGGTTACAAACAGTTGTGAATCGTTGACCGAATCGATTCTTGGACAGGGTGAGTAAACCGCTCACACACCGCTCAAATTACCCAGAGGGACAAACCCGACATGCATTAACGTGGTGGGAGCAGGGCCACACACAGGCAGGCATGCTATGGATGCGCCAGGCTGGCGCGCCACAGATGGTGGCGGCCAACCAGGCCGTGCTTGTGCAGCGCGGCGTGCAAGGGGGTTCGCTTTGGGTGCGCTCATTGTCCGCCCATGTCACACAAAGCCTTACACCATGCCGAACCCAACGAAGTTGCACTTGATCGAGGCCGTTCCGTTGGACTCGAAGCCCTTGGGGCACTGGGGTTTGTGGGAGGAGCAGGTAGGGAGGTGGGTTGCGCAGTCTGTGAGTTGGAGGGAGCCTGGCCGTGCGCGTTGGGAGGGCTGCCGACTTGCCTCGGCCACTCAGGCAGGAGTGGTGCGCTGAGCCAGCCAGGCCTTGCGCCCCTTGGTGGGCCCCTCACCTTGATGCACGCAAAGGCACCCGGTAGTGGCGCGAATTGATTGACGGGGCAGGGCTGCGGGGGAATGAAGTGGGCATGAGCAGGCGGCCCCCACAGTCAGGGCTCCTTCAAAGGGCGCCAGGTGGCAGCAAGGGCGCCAGGTGGCAGCAGGCTGAGGTAGGGCGGGCGGCCACAAGACAAGTGCTGTGGATCAGGCTGGAGAAGACGGCGCTTCAAACCATCATCCTCACAAACAGCGCTCACCGCGCAGGTGCTGGAGCCAATCTTGTTGTTGTAGGTCCCAGCGCCGCAGATGATGCACTTGCCCAGGGCGCGGTCGGCATAGAAGCCGGGCAGGCACTTCTGCGGGGTTGAAGAGCGGGAGGAGAGAGGCGTGTCAGTGAGCGGTCGCCTCAGCCAAACAGGATCCGTGCAATGTCCAAAGTCGCGCATGATTACTCCCATCCACCCAGACAGGCATCATCGAGGCGGCCCTTGCGGTCTGTTGACATTGGGACGGGACCAGTCGAGGTGCTCACCGTGCACATCAGCCCCTGAGCGATGGTGCCCACGGGGCACTGCCTGCAGGCAATGCGAGGGTTGGCTGCAAAGAGCTTGGGGTTGGCGGTCATCATGGTGATGTTCAGGACCTCGTTCTTGAGGCAGAAGTCCTGGAGGTGGGACAGGTTGGGGTCAAGTCAGGCGATTGCGTAAGGAGGGAGTTGCGTGCTGGCCAGTGTCCCTGCCTTTCTTGTGTGCGGGACGCAAAGGTTCACCTATGAGTCACTCATGATGCCTTCTGCCCATTAAGTGTTGGCAACACTTGCACCACGGGCGCGCGCAAGCTCACGTCGAACGAGGGCAGGGCCTTGGTGAGGTTGCCGAGGCCAGGCAGCTTGAGAGAGGGCAGCTTGAACAGCCCGGTGGCGGCAGACGCCGCAGACGCGGCCGCCGCAGTCTTGTTGGCGACCGCGGCGGGCACCTTGACATCAAAGCCAGGCAGGGTCTTGGTGCCAGAGATGGTCTTGCCCACGAGCTTGATGGAGATGGTGGGCATGATCTTTTTCTTGGTCGGCAGGTTGATGGTGAACGAGGGGACCTTGGAGGCGTTCCAGAGGTGGATCGTCTTTGTGGGCAGCGACTTGTTGAGGTTGATGGTGTAGGAGGGCAGGGTGGGCACCTTGACGGCGGGGAGCGTGAGGTTGACGCACCTGGGGAGGGGCAAGGGGGGTGGGTGGAGGAACAGCGAGGTGCGTGAGGTGAGGCAATTCCGGTGGCGGTAATTTCGCAGCAGTCCCGCCGCTGCGCCAGCAATGCGCGCCTGCCAGTGTCCGGTAAGGTCAGGGCAGAGGGCCCAGATCAACACAGCCCAACCCCTCCTGGACATTCCCTGGCAGCCACCCAAAGGCTCACGTGGCGCCGCACGACCCGCAGTAGTCCGGCACGCAGAGCTGGTTCTCCCCTGTGCACTTGCCCTCACAGACATTCCACAGACAGGTCACCTAGGACGGTGGCAAAACAGATGGGGCCGGCGGGTTTTGCGCTCAGCAGAGCAGCAGAAAGCGGATATGGCGAGGTGGGCAGAGTCAGCCGTCACACGAGGGCATGTGTCTTATGGGCGCTGGCACGCGCATCCGCTGAGGGCTGCACATTGCACGTTGCGCGGTGTACGCGCCTCACACACAAATGTGCACGCAAGGGAGGGTCAAGGGCAGGTGAGCATGCAGAGAGGGAGGCTCACCAGGGGCTTGCCATTCTTGCAGAGGACTGGCTTGAATTTGAGGTGGTTCAGCACCATGGCCTGCACGCTGGAGCGAAGCGACGCCTTGGCGCCGTCCATCAGGGCCGTCGCGTTTGGCAGGCTGAACTTGGGGACGGGGGCTGTGAGGGAGGCGAGGATGGGGCCGAGCGACAGGGGCGGTGGTGATGTGGCCAAGCGTGTCAGGGGTGGAGCCCAGCAGCAAGAGCTGGGCAGCGGGGTGCAGCGGAGGTAGGCGTCAGTCTAGCACATGATTATGATGTAGGAAGGTAGCATGGAGGACGGGTTGGGCCTTCGGGCACCCACGCTGCTCGCTCGGACCTGGCAGCTTACGGAAACATCCAAACCCGCCACCAGCTGACAGGCGTACCCACCGGGAAGTGTGCCTGCATAGCTCATGTGAGCCATGAGGATGATGGTGGCGACCACTGCGACGAAAGAGCGCGCCATGGCTGCTGCTTGCGTGCTGAGAAGGCAGGGCGAGGGTGTATTAGGCTTGTAGATCGTACTACTGCATTGAATAAGCTCACGAATAAATCAACTGGAGTTATTCATGCGTATTATAGCTAAGTGAAGTAGCAGACAGGCGGACACACACGAGCCGGCACGAAGGTGGGACCGGATTGGGATGTGCACGAGGGGGCCCGCAGAGGATGGCATGGAAGTGTATAGGACGACACCAGAAATTTATTTCAAACCTGTTGGATCCCTCAGGAAGACGTCCGGGGCTTGCGGGTGGGTGGCTCAGTGGCAGGTGGCTGACAAGTGCACACCCGCTGTCCCTCATGGAGGGCAGATGGATGCAGCGGGGATGCCCCAAGGCTGGGCAAGACAAGCGTGACCCATGAAGCCTGATACATTTTTTATGCGCGACCCATGAACCCTGATCGATGCTTTATAAGGCAGTCAACTTTGGGTCATGCTACACTTGCCCCTAGCCCCTGGCATCTACATCACGATAAGCAGCCTTCAGGCGCCAGAACTGGTGCGGTGTCCTGTGCCTGTGTGGATGCTTCAAAGCTGCTGCCGGCTGGCCAATGGGCTGCATTGCTCATGTCAGTGATTTGAAGTCAATTTTGTGCAACTCATGACCCCTTGACTGGACTGCCAATCAACTTCAGCGTGTTCACGGCTGCCCCGCTTATCTCACACACAGCAGGGGCCCCAGGGCAGGGTGCGAGATGCATCCCAAAGTGCACATGCGTACATTTCAACGTCCTGTTCATGCAAATACGGTGTCATCCCTCAGAAATTGTGGCATTTACAAATGTGCCGTCGCACTCGGAACAGGAATGAAGAGAGGACAACCGCAGGCAGGTAATGTTGAATTGATGAGCGGAGGAAGGATGAGCGGCCGGCAGACTCCATTACCCCACAACCGGCGGGCCCACAGAGGGCGAGCCCCAATCGGTCGGCGGGCTGGCTGGAGGCATACGGGCCCTGTGACTGTGTGACGGCATACGGCCCGTCAGGCAAGCCTGCAGATGGCAGGCTGCCAGGCCTCCTGGCATGGGTGTGTGTTTCCACTAACGAAGCAAGTGATGTGTGGCCAGCCTTCTAAACCTGCACAACGCACTTTGTCTGCCCCTTCATGCCCTTGGTTCCAAGACCGGCAGGGCAGGGCAAGCAACTGCCCTGGCCAGACAGGCGCATGTACCTGCAGTTGGAGGTGGGTGTGTTCAGTTGGCCAGGGTCTGGGTGTGAACATGTTGGTATGAGCACGCACATGTGCAGTGCATGTGTGCATACGCGTGTACTTGCACGTGAGCGTGCGTGTGCATAGGCACACGCACACATGCAAACATGCATTTATGCATGTGTATGCATGAGGTCAAGACCGGTCAGCACGTGGCTCCACCCAACATGACTCAACAACAAGCGTCATGCAGCAGTACAAATGCCCATCGCCTGAGCTGCAGCATATGTTGTGCTAATCTGGCCTCGGCGCACAGGATTCCAAACTAAATGCGATGCACAAATAAGAACACCACCCCTGCAACATAGCACTCACGTGTTGACTGGGCAAGGGGTGCAGAACTTGCTGCCTGTGGGGCTCTTGGAGAATGTGCCGGGGGTGCAGGCTTTGCAGGAAATAGTCTTGAGGTCAGCATACCTGAGAGAGGAGACCGCCAGGCGTGGGGTGGTGGGGCGGCAAGACAGGCCCAGGCGAGCTGGCATCTTTGGCAAGTGCAACAAGCTGCGGCCGCGGCTGCTCAAAGTCAAGCGCTGCACACTTCAGAAGTGAGGTCTGCATTCACAGCATCCCACAGGCAGCCGGCTTGGACATCAGAGCAACTGAACAGCACGACGCCCGGTGCAGAGGACGGCCAGCCGTCCCGCCCGTCCTGCCTGTCCCCTGCACTCACTGGCCGCGGCCGCAAGCCGTGCACGCCTTGGCGCCAACCGCCGCAATGCTGCCCTCGGGGCAGGCCTTGCAGCCGAGGGACGCGATGTCAGTGATGGTGTTGGCTTCGCACTTGGGCAGCACCGACTTTGTCAGGTCCTGGACACCAGTGACAAGCTTATCCACCAGCGGCAGGTTGGGCGTCGGCGCAGTGGTGCTGCCTGGCATGTCAGGGTTTGTTGGGTTGTGTTCAGGGTTTGGTCAGGAGAGTGCTGGGGCATGCCAGAGAGGGGATTTTTCAGCGGGGGTCCCTTCAGGCAGCTGATAGGAGCCAGCCGGCGGCCGGAAGAGCGGGCGGCTGCGGACGTGTGACCGATGGTTGTCTGTTCTGCTGGCCGTCAGTGGGCAAGGCGGTGCGGGCGTTGCAATTACCATCATTCAGCCCCTCACATCGATGCAGCAAGACACAGAAACCAGTGTCTGCGCCCGCAAACATGCCGATGCAATACTGATACCTGCCCTGGCTTGACACCTGTAAGCATATGTGCCACCTCCCCTGCCATCTGCCGGCTTGTATTGGTTCCCATCCCCAGTCCCAAGCAGCCTGCAGCCCCTCAACACTGCTGTTCATTTTCCCATCAAATTCCCCTTCATCCCGGCAACTCACCCGGCAGGAGGGGCTTCATGCCAACAACGCTCAGGAGCTTGTTGACGCCCGACCCGATCTCGGTGTAACCAATGCACCGCGCGTTGCAGCCGCCGCACTGGTCGACCAGGCACATGGAGACGGGGCCGCAGCGCTTGGTCTTGCAGGGGTTGATGCCCGAGCAGTTGGCGAGCTTCGCGCCGTTGGAGCACAGGAGGCTGCTGGCAAAGTCGCCGAAGGACGGCGCCGTCTGGCCGGCGGGCGCGAGGCCGGTCGTGGTGGGGATGTCCGTGCCGTTGGCGCCGGCGGCGATGGCAGCGTTGGTGCTGTTGTAGGTCGCAATCTCCTTCAGGTTGCTTTGCAGCTGCAGAGTGAGGGTGTTGAGGAGCCGGGTTGCAGCAAGCGCGTTGGCAGAAGCAGCTTTGTCTCGGTTTTCCCGGGATATCTGCCAGGGGCTGCAGTGCGACACTGAGCACACGGGCTTCACATAAGAGCACACTCAAAAACTTTATTAGGAAATCAGCATCAAATTCGAATCCATTCAACTGCATCTGTCTATTGCAAACATAACATTTACGCGCGCTCACCGCCTTGACCATGTCGTTGATCGACCAAGTGCCCTCGTTCTTGCTGACAGCACCCTGCTGCGTCGCGGCGTCGACCGCCGACTGCCACGCGCGCGTCATCGCGTCGATGCCGTCGTGGGCGAACATCTTGGCTGCGTAGTTCGGCTTTTTGGGTGCGCTGACGCCGTAGGCGAGCAGGTCCAGGTTGGGCGAGATCGGCACGCCCATCTTGGCGGCGGGGGCGCCGTAGTTGAGCAGGTCGAGGTTGGGCTTCATGACCGCAAGGCCAAGGTTGGGGATGTTGTGGTAGCCGGCGAGCAGCTCAGAGACCACGTGCCTGTTGTCCAGCTCGGGGACGCCGGCGCGGGCGGGGGCGGCTGCGCGTTTTGAGGGTAGGCACGGCGGCGCAGCGGGCGCGCGTTTGTGCAGAGTCTCATGCAAATGTGCGGCTGGGTGTTGGCGAGATATGCTTGCGGCGCACAGTTTGCTTATGCAGCCCCTGTTGCGAGCGTCCCTCGCTCGACTGACAGACCGCTGCTAGTCCTGCAGATGCTGCAGGCCTTGGGGTATGCTCAGGGGTCGGGCCTCACCGAATCCTGCCGCCACCACCGCCACGACCAGCCAAGCTGATATCATACGTTTCATCATTTCCGTGTGTTTTCAGGGAAGTGGCAGCAGCCCAGGAGGAGGACGGCGCGCGGGAGCAATGGCGGTAGAAGCAAGAAAGCACGGAGACCGACGACGATCACTATACAACTGTGCAGATCTATCCAAACAAACAATTACAATTGATCAACACCCTATCGTGGTCATATTTGAAGTCAGTCAGCCAGAGCTGCGGCAACTGCGGACAGACCAGGACCATCGGCGAACTTCAGCGGGTCCCTCGCGGTGTGCACATGTTGCATAAGTTGTTCAATCTGCGAACTATGTGTCATATTGTTACACAAATTGTCGCTTGCACCCCGGGGCGGAGACAAGAAAAGCTGACAGCATCAGACAGCTGGTCTTTGCAGTCTTCGAGCCGCCTGGCGCTTTGCAGTCTTCGAGCCTGGATGGACATACCGTGCTGCTACAACACCATACACACAGGAAGATGCGTATTGATGAGCCGTGTGTGTCTGTGCAGCGTGGACCTTCTTTGCATGATACCTGGCTCCAGCAGAGCCAAAGTTTGGGCTCACAAGCTCCCTGGATGAGTGCTGTAAGCAAGCAAGTTTGTTGACATTCGAAAATACCCCCAATCATGGTGATCCCAATCATGTTTGCTTTTGTGCGCCTCCCCCTGGTGGCCATGCGTCAATGCTCGCGTCCTGGTTTGACCGGCATCATGACCTCGGCCGACACAGCAAGATTGCCATGCAGACTTGCAGCCACCCAGCCATGCAGGTGTACAGCGTAACTCTGTTATAAGTTCTCAGCAGCTGCGATGTCTCATTTTTCTCTTTGGGCGCTGCTGTAAATCTGAGTTCGTTCGCTCGAGGCAATGCTCCGAACCGCTACTCGATGCAACGAGACGCGCAGTCGGTGACACAGTTTTACATCCATTACACATCAATCGGATCCGTTGAGATCGTCAGGGTCCCTGCCGAGGATCCCAGTCGGCCGTTGCCACATGGAGAAGAACCCATTCTGGCAGAACGTTCAGGGCCCATTCCCCACTTGGAAGGCACCTCAAGGCGTTAAGGCCGATGGCGGCGGCAACGTGCGCGGTCAGGGGCTGGTTGGCCGCATGCTGATTCACCGCGCCGTGTTCAACCGCAACAAGGATGGTGCGCTGCTCACGTCTGCTTGGAACTGCATTGTCTAGATTTCTTGTGAAAAATAAGACTTTCAGTACCCTTCTTTACACACTGGGCTGCTGTCAGCCCCCAGGCACGCGGGTCAAGTGCCTGGCGCTCTTTTCGACCGCCGCACCAATGCGGCCGACGCCTCCAGTTGCTGGGGCCTTGCCTTGGTTGCAGCCGCTGGCCTGCGACTGCCAGATCGTATGAATTGCATGTGTGACACATGCACTTTCTGCGCAGAAATTGTCCGCCTGGTCGACGCGGGCGAGGACATCAACGAGGTGGAGGGCGCCGGCAACACGCCGCTGCACAACGCCGCCTGGGCCGGCTGGTTGGAGGGCGTGGAGCTCCTGCTGGGGCTGGGCGCCAAGGTGGACGCCAGCAACAATGCGGGCGACAGGCCATGGCACTGGGCGACCAACATGGGCCATGCTGAGGTGGCTGAGCTGCTCATCAAGGTGTGTGGGGCTTGCGTGAAGGACAGCGGCTCGCTCAAGAGACACAGGAATGCAAGGGTCTGATTCTGCAAATGAGCAGGGTGCTGTCGTGCCATTCATCACTGGCTTGATACGTTCACAACCCACTCAAAATCAATTGCGGAGGCGTTCTTTGGCAGCACTGTTCTGATCCATGCCACCTTTCTTTGCGCAGAACGGCGCCAGCAAGCAGCAAGGCAAGGTGCTGGTGCAGGAGCACGTCCCCAAAGTCAAAGTGAGTGCTCGGCCCCAACCCCAGTCACTGCTTGTGTTCGGTGGTCCAAGCTTTGCCCCGGCATGTGGCAATTTAGCAGCTTGCCATTCATTTCAAGGGACCTGGAGGCGTGAGCATTCGCCCTGCCGGCATAGCTTGCTGCGGTGGCTGCACACTCGGCAATGCTTGCTTGCTTGGCAGCACTGTAACTGCACACAGTGTGTGTGCATTGTGCAGCTGGTCCTGGCACTAGACCGCAATCATCGACAGTGGGTAGCGCGATTCCCGGTGCTGCTTCTTGCAACCCATTCGCACCAGTTTAGCTGCCTACGTACCCGCAGCAGCCCCCCCCCCCGCGCCCCTGGACAATTTTGCGCAACCAGTTGTGCCCCTGCCCGCCCCCCCCTTAAACCCCTGTCTTCCTTTGCCCCAGGACTTCTTCTCAAAGCCCTGCTGGGCGCACCACCCCAAGCCCTACGCCGATTTTGTTGAGTTCAGGAAGAAGGAGCACGCTGCACTTGAGGAGGAGCGCAAGAGGGCAGTGCGCGTGTGACATTGCGGCTTCATGCGGATGTTGTGTTCTTGCAACCCTTGGCTGGTGTTGGCTGTGATGGGCCAGACGGGGGCATCAAATGTAAGCTCGCTGCTGGCTGGCTAGCCAAGCGCTGGAGGTGCAAGCGGTGCCTCATGCTTTCTTTGTTCTGCAAGGTTGCAGTAGCACCCTGATGTAAGGCAGAGCTTACAAGGGCGGATGATTGACTGACTAATCGAATTAGCTCTCAGCTCAATTGGAAGCGCTGGACATGTTGGGCAGGCTGCTGGCACAAGCACGCATGTCAACCGCAAACTGTACGCTGGATGAGCGCTCGGCGGCCCTGCACCACGCCGCGACAAGCCCCATGCCTGCCTGCCCCTTGGGCCGTTCAAGCCCCCTGCGCCTGCTCCGCGACCAGCGTGGTCCATCTCTCCTTCTCGAACTCCTCGGGTGTCTTGAAGTCAGGGTCGCGGTACGCCCTGAAGCTGTACTGCAGGCAGTCCAGGCAGACGCTCTCACACTCCCAGACACGCTTGCTGCGGCACCTGCACCACGCGCGCGGGAGGGGCGGCCAGGGGGGCGTGCCCGCAGGCACGCGGGGATGAAGAGGATGTCGCAGGCAGCGCACGCCGCCCTCGCGGCTCTGTTACCGCCCTTGCTGTTACCGACCCTGGGCTCGAGCTGCCTCATGATGAGGGCAAAATTTGAGGTAGACTGTTGCGCCCGCCACCTCATGCTGCTGACGCCTTCCCGATCCCCTGAGCCAAGCAAGCGCCTCGCCGCGCCGCCTCACCAGGTCTGCGTGAAGTAGTGCTCCTTGGTGTTCTTGCCCCCGCAGGCCAGGCAGTCCGGGAACTCGCCGCTCGTCTTGAAGCGCCCAAAGTACTCGGTCCAGTCCATGACTTTGTAGCCGGACCCTACAGAGGGGTTGATCTCCACGGGGAGGCCCTGGCGCACCTGCGGGGGACGCCCAGCGCCAAAGGAAGCCGGGCAGTGGGGCTGGGCACGGGCAGCAAAGGTGGCTGCAAGTGACGACGAGGGCAGCAGGGCTTGTGGGAGTGTGTGCGTTTCTGGCAATCGCCTCTCAATAATCACGTTTGGCAGCTGCATGGAGGCTACACTGGCTAGTTGCCACGCTTGGCATCAAGTGGTGTTCAAAGCCGAGCTATGTCAGCGGAATGTGTGAACACCCCATCAGTGACCAAACCTCAGGGCTAGTGAGGCTGCTTGGGAGCAACCTGTCCTGAATGCAGACCCCCCTTGGTGCACGCGCGAGGGGCTGCGCACCTTGACGATCTCGGAGCGGTGCACCCTAGCATGTGGCTCCGGTCCCACCTTTGTGTTGAGAGGCGCTCGCAGGTTCGTGTGATACTGGGGCAGCGGGACAGAGACCGCCGCCATGCTGCCACACCGGCCCAAGCGGCGGTTGGTTGCCTGGGTGAACGTAACGCAGCGGGCTATGCCAAGGCGGCAGTGATAACGAGAGACACATGAATTTCGTGGCAACAACCTTTCGTCCATCGAGCAACATACAAACCGTAAAGCGCGCCGTGACAATGCTTCAGTGTTCGAGTGGCCGAGGCAAGGCGTGTAAACGCGCCGAACTCAGGCTGGTAGATTTTATTTCATATGTAACATCACATTACCCACCTTAAAACCCGTCACGAGGCCGCTGGGTCGTTCCGCGACCCGCATTGCTGTGTTCTGACCGCCAAAGACCGCGTTCTACAGTGCTACCTAGTCGTGATCGGGTTTGGGAGTAGATGGCATGTTTTGAGTGCGTGGGTCTAGCGGTGGGCCTGCTCTTGGCGGCCGTGGCGGCGCGCGCCTCGGGGCAGCACGCGCCTGACCAGTGGCTCGAGTCCGCCTTCCGCACGACATCGGCCGACACTGTATACGACGCCAGCAGCCTGGGAGGCGTCCAGCACTTTTCTCTACCCGTTGCTCAGGGCACCTGCGGCCATTCCGCCACTTATGGCTTTGCAAAGTGCCTGCTGCTGCCCAGCGGCACCCAGGCGTGGCGTTTCATCGTGTCGTGGGCGCGTGTCACCCCGACGCGCCTGGCCAATGTGGCGGAAGACCTGAGCGCATTCGGGCCCTACCAGTGCGAGCCCCCCGTATTCTACCTTGAGAGTGTGGCGGGCGGTAGTGTCCCATTGACGGTCCACGAGCGCGGCGGGCTCGCATTCATGCCTGTGGCGCTCAAGGCCTTTGTGCCCGCAGCGCGCGCCGCGCCGTCGTACGCGCTGCGCATCGAGGGCAGCGACTACCTGGCCGTCTTGGACGCGGAAGGCGGCTGCGCGACGCCGGCGGACCCGCTGAGCGTCGAAGATGGGGGCGGCGGCGGCGGCGGCGGCAGCAGCGGCAGTGGCGGCAGCAGCAGCAGCAGCAGCGGCGGCGATGCAACAGCCGCAACACCAATTGCTGCAGCGGCGAGTGAACCAGGCAGCAGCGGCGCAGCGGGATCGGCACTTGGAGACGCTGCAGCCGGCGGCGGTGCCGGCGGCGGCAGCAGCGCCAGCGGCTGCCAAGGTAGCAACGGCGGCGACCAC